CAGGAAAGCTGACATTTCGGGCCTAGACCCTTCTTCAGAAAATCTTCAGAAATTTGTGAAGAAGGGTCTAGGCCCGAAACGTCAGCCTTCCTGCTCCTCTGATGCTGCTTGGCCTGCTGTGTTCATCCAGCTCTACACCTTGTTATCTCAGATTCTCCAGCATCTGCAGTTCCTACTATCTCTTCTGAACCCTCTCCAGTTTAATTATATCCTTCCTATAACTTGGCGAACTGGACACAGTATTCCAGAAGAGACTTCACCAATGTCCTGTACAACCTCAACATGACGTCCCAACTCCTATACTGTAAGGACTGAGCAATGAAAGCAAGCGTGCCTAATGCCTTTTTAACCACCCTGTCTATATGTGATGCAAACTTTAAAGAATTATTTATGTACCTAAACCTCTCAACCCCTCTGATCTGGGGCCCTACCATGAATTGTCTCCGTGCTATCTGAGTTTGTTGTATTGTTCAGCGCTGTTTGATCAGTCCCACTCCTTCAGGGGGTCAGTCAGGGGATTCAGCCACATCCTTCCTGGGCAGTGATGTCCGTGGTGGACTAAGGGCTTGGGGAATAGACTGGGGAGGTGGTCATTCCGTTGGGTTGGAGGGGAGTGTGACGGCCGTCCGTCTCCTGGTGGTATTAAGCCACACTGCACTTTTGTCGGAAGATTGGATCAATTGGAGACCTGCGCTTGGAGACTCGAGTTGAAAGGTTAAGCATGACCACCCCCTCGCTAATGGGGATGCAGCACTGTCAGAGGTGCTCCCTCTGTGAGATGTTACAATGAAGACTGGGTCCGCCTGATCAGAAAGATCCTGTTGGATATGTTGGAAGGGTGGATTATTTCTTTCTCCCTTTGATCAGTGCCCCTGAACATCGGATGATTCCCGACACGTGCACACAGTGCAGAAACTAGCTCCTGCCTCCTCTGTGGTGAGGAGTGGCAACACTGCAATCCACTGGCTGCTCTGTTGCCTTACTTCCAGAGGTTGGGACAGGTTCCACCAAAATGCACATCTTTCTTCTTGCGTGCTGAAAGAGGAGGGGGGGTTGGAGTCATTATTCTAGGTGTTTCCTTACTGTCATTCATGGTGGCTATTGTGTTTTTTGTTTGCCTTCCCAGTGGTGGAGTATAAGATTGCTGATATGGGTCACATCAAGTATTACCTGGCCCCCAAGATTGAAGACGAGGACACCTCTTAAGCTGGAGCTTGTGTTGTACAGACTGATTCGGGGACGGCTGGACTGACAACACACACACTGACTGCGGATCGATAGCTCAGAAACTGCAGGGCCAGGTCACAGACTGAGCTGACACCTCTGTTACAACATTACACTTTTACAGGCTCTGCTCTCCCTGTGCATCCTGGAGTTGTTTTGTAGATATTTTATGTAAATATGTTGTGCGACGTGGAATGGCTTTTTTTGTAAGATGGAGGGGAAAGGCAGCAAATAAACCACGATTCTGTGATACTGGGGGTCTGTGCCTCGAGCTGGTGAGGACAGGGCAGCGCAAGTTCAGAATTCACACTGTGTTTCAGGGAGGGTGGCGGGGTTCAGTGTATGTGCTCAATGCATTCAGGCTAACATATTCCAGGTTCACCTGAAGTGTATAGTCCTAAGATGATGGGGAAGCAGTGGCTAATTGGGATAATCACTGGGCTGTTAATCCAGAGACCCAGGCCATGTTCTGGAGTCATGAGTCAGGGGATTCAGCCACATCCTTCCTGGGCAGTGATGTCCGTGGTGGACTAAGGGCTTGGGGAATAGACTGGGGAGGTGGTCATTCCTGGGACTGTTGAGTTCAATAAAAATGGAATGGAGAGTCCACTGATGACCACAAATCCATAGCTGATTGTCGTAAAAATTGTATCTGGTTTCCCTGCAGGGAAGGAAACTGCCATTCTTGCCTGGCCTGGGCCACACGTGACTCCAGGCCCACAGCAATATGGTTGCTGGGCAGTCAACGTTCGCACCCTCATCCAGCAGTCCAGTCCCGGCCTGATGTCGTGTCAGAAGTTCAAAACCCACCCTCTGTGGTAGCTGGTGGTGGGTGACCATGGAATGACCAAGTTAGTGTCACACTGGATCTGACCTCTGCGTCTCTCACAAATCCACAGCCAAGTGTTCGACTCACTTCCCCAATGGCCAGTTCGATTGCATAGGCAGGTTGCCGATCTCAGTGTTCGGCTTAATTGTCGGTGTTGTTGTGATCACAGCAGCCTCCAGTTCCACCAGGCACAACTGTGTGTACGGGCAGCTCAACACACAATTGCTTGTTCACCAGTCCCTGGGCGAGTAATTCCAGGCTATCCCTGCTCCTTTTGGTGCTACAGAACTGTACAGCAACAACATTCATATCTACATGTGCGTGTTGGTGAAGAGTATGGACTCCGAACCCAGGTCCCTGTCCAGATTCCTCAGTCTGGGATCGTCTTTAGTGACACGCAGGTCATTCTGCCCATGGTGATAATAACCTGCTGTTCCCAGGGCCTGTGAGCCCATCAGAAATAGCTTTCAGCTCCCCACTTTGTCCCCGTGTGCAAGCTCTGACATCATGGCACTTCGCTCATGGCTGTTAGGTGGCAGTAAACCATTGTTTTCACAGGTGACCGTCTCTGGCCCGGAAAACCCATTCCAAGTTTGTTTCATGTCCACTTCTCTTGATTACGGATGAAGCGGATTTTCTGAGGCAGCTGTTTTGGCTGAGTCTTCAAACACCTTGCTACACCTTCATTGTTCCCTGTTAAATATGATTGAAATCAATCATGTGTGTATTTTATTTCCTGGCTGTTTGGGGGTGCTGGGGGGTAGTGTTGGAGGTGGTTTGCTCAGTAGCTGATGCTAACACGGTTCACTTACTGCAATGGCTGACGTTACTCTGTTTCTCAAGCCATCCCCTCAATGGCCCCCATCTTGCTGTTGCTCAGGCTCTGGGGATGCAGGAAATGACTACTGCGCTCAACAAGTCGTGGGGAAAATGTGTTCGACTCACTTCCCCAATGGCCAGTTCGATTGCATAGGCAGGTTGCCGATCTCAGTGTTCGGCTTAATTGTCGGTGTTGTTGAAATGACCCAGCCTGACATGCCTACGGTGTCCCCCTTTGTTCCCGATCCCGTTCTGTCACGTGTTCGGTTGCTGGGTCAAAATCGGGGAGCTCACAGCCCTCTGGTAGGCCCCTGCACCCCAAGCAAGTTCACCACCTTTTCCAGTCCACCTCGTAATGGCTACAAAATGCTGGCTCCACCAATTACATCCACAGTCATACAGTCATGGAGATGTGCAGCATGGAAGCACAGACCCTTCGGTACAACTAGTCCATGCTGACCAGATATCCTAAACTAATCTAGTCCCATTTCGCCCGTATCCCTCTAACCCCTTCCTATGCATATACCCACCCAGATGCCTTCTAAATGTTTTAATTGTACCAGCCTGCACCACTTCCTCTGGCAGCTCATTCCATACACGCACCACCCTCTGCATGGAAAAAAATTGCCCGTCAGGTCCTTTTGAAATCTTCATCCTCTCCCCTTCAACTATGCCCCTCTTGTTTTGGACTCCCCTGCCCTGGGGAAATGACCTTGACTGTTCACCCTATCCATGCCTGTGACAGTTTTGTAAACTTCAGTAAGGGTTCCCTGAATTAATGATCAAATAAGTCGAGCGAGAGCACTGAACGTTATCTCTCTGATTTGCATGGCAGCAGGTTAGATTTGCGAGGAAGCCCCTGAGCTTTTCGCTGCTTCCAAATTGACCTCCCGAGATGCAGAAAGCCAGGATTTCGAAGCGCCTCAGGGATGTTGGCTCTGGCCAGAGCGAAACGATTCCAAAGGCTCTGGCCTGTTGTGGAAAGGACTTGCGTAAACTGGAGTAAAGAGATAACAAGGTGTAGAGCTGGATGAACACAGCAGGCCA